AACACTGAGGGTTGCAATCCCGTTGCCGGTCCCCGGTCCGGTACGGGGGCAACACTGAGGGTTGCGATCCGTTGCCGGACACGGAAAAAAGACAAAAAAAAAAGAAAAAGAAAAAGAAAAGAAAATGAGCAGACATCAAAAGAATAATAAGGGAATACTATGAACAACATATAAATTTGGCAATTCAGACAAACTGGACCAACTCCTCCAAAAACACAAACTATCACAACTCACCCAATATGAAATAGACAATTATTTGTAAATTACATGACTGCATACCCAAAACAATCCCAGGGGATCTACAGGAAAAAACTCCTGGAACTAGTGAGTTAGCTCAGCAAGGTCATAGGATACAATATCAACATTTTTTTAAAAAATTTTTCCATATATTAGCAATGAGCACATGAAAACTGAAATTTAAAACATTTCTAATCACTGAAAAAAAAATAAGTACTTAGGTATAAATTTAACAAAATGTGTACTAGATTTGTATGCTGAAACTACACAATGCTGTTTAATAAAATCAAAGATCTAAATAAATGGAGAAATATACTATGTTCAGACAGGAAGACTCAAAATAGTAAAGATGTCAATTCTCCCCAAACTGATAGATTTAATGCAATTCCTATCAAAATCCTGGAAAAACATTTGTAGATAAACAAGATTATTCCAAAATTTATATCAAAAGACAAAAGGATTAGAATGGTCAAAACAATTTTGAAAAAGAACAATAAAATGGTTGAAATTATTCTACCTGGTTTCAAGACTTATTATATATAGCTACAGTCATCAAGACTGTGTGGCACTGTTGGTGGGATAGACACACAGATCAATGAAACACAACAGAGAATACAGAAATAGCTCCATACAAGTACAGCTAACTAATTTTTGACAAAGATGCAAAGGCAATCCAATGAAGGAAAGTCAACCTTTTCAATAAATGGTGCTGAAGCAACTGGATATCTATAGGAAAAACAAAAAGTGAACCTCAACCTAAGTCTGACACTTTACACAAAAAGTTAACTCCAAAAGGGTCACCGGCTTAAATGTAAAACATAAAACTATAAAACTTCTAGAAAAACAATAGGATAAAGTCTGCAGTGTCTAAAGCTAAGTAAACAGTAGACTTGACACCAAAAGCTCAGAGACATTGTACCAAAGAGAATATAAGCACATGAAAGGATGTTCAACAAAATTAGCAATTATGAAAATGCAGATTAAAATCAAAATATGATATCACTATGCATCTATCAGAAAGGCAAAAATAAAAAATAGTGACAACATACTGGCCAGCAGCCAAAAAAAAAAAAAAAATGACACCACCAAAGGCTTCTGAGGATGATGACAAATTGGATCACTCATACATTGCTGGTGAGAATAAAAAAATGGTACAGCCAGTGTGGAAGACAGTTTGGAAGTTTCCAAGAGAAGGGAGGAAGGGTAGGCAATCACAATAACATGTTGAACTTTTAGAAGGAGAGAAAAAATTTGTGGTTACTAGAGGTGAGGGGGACGGTTAAGGAGAAATTGGCTAATGCACACAAAGAACAATTACGTTTCACAATGATGAATATGCTAATTATCCTGATGTGAGCATCCCATATTGTACACAAATACCTATAATCAACTCTGTACCCCACAAACATGTATAATCAATTATGTTTCGGTTAAAAAAAATGAAAAAAACAAAACACCCTTACTATAAGACTCAATAATTATACTCCTAAGCATTCATCCCAGAGAAAGGAAGACTTGTCCACACAAAAATCTGTAAGTAAATATTTATAGCCGTTTTATTTGTATTTTCAAAGCTGGAAATGGCCCAGATATCTTTCAATGGGCAAATGGTTAAACAATCTGTGGTACAACCATACCATGGAATACTACCCAACAACAAAAAACTATTGATATACATAACAACCTAGATGAATTGTCAGAAAATAATGCTAAATGAAAAAAAGCCAACTCCAAAAGGTTATACACCATATGACTCTATTTATACAAATTTCTCAAAATGACAAAAGTATGGAAATGGAGAAGAGATAAGATGGGGGGTTGGGGGCTGGCACATGTGGTAGGGGAAGTGGCAATATGAGAGATCCTTGTATTCTGGTTGTAATATTATACTATAGTTCTCCAAGATGTTACCATTGGGGAAAACAAGATGAAGTACACATAGTATGTCTCTGTATTATTTCTTACAATTG